CTATGAAAGATGCAACTATCGTACAATAAATGACAAGCTTATTTTATATTAAAACGGGCGGCATCTCCCCTATTTTCCTTGCTTTCCCAAGTCCATAAACCAACAAGAACTCATACAACCTTCACCTATATACTTTCATCACCACAACACAAATCAAGCTACATAACAACAAGTGCATAAAGATCACCAACGAATATAATATTTAACACGACGAACGACAAGCTCGGATTGAATCCCTTTTGATCCATTTAACCTAAAATCCACTCATTCATTAACTTAACAACATATCCAGCATGATATTAAGTGCAATGGGAGGACTTCTAATCTCCTATTCATCTCCTAATTCACCCTCAAGCAGCCAAACAATCCAACAACAACAATAAGTGCAACTTTCCATAGTTATGTTGTCCTTTCTCTTCATATTCACAGTACCAACAATAAGTTTGACATGTAGACAATACATATATAATAAAAACATCATAAGAAAGTCATTTTCCAAGGTTTCCAACTATTTAAAGTTCATAGAGACAACCTTTCCAAAACAATCCATTAAAAACAATAACATCTCAAACTATTTCAAGTCTACTCTTGTAGTATTTTGCTCAAATAATGCAACCAACACACAAACAACTTCAAGCACATATAGTAGGCTTTTATAATAACCTTAAACAGTATAAAAAACATGAAATTTCAGCCAAACACAGCCCACAACTATCCTCAATGACACCACTACACTATAGGTGTTGTATTCTCTTCTTGAATCAACTTTTGGTGTTCAAGTTGGTGTGTAAACACTTGTAGTTCTCCTTAAAAATCCAATTTATATGAAGGAGGTACTGATTCTTACCTTAATCAACAAGAACAACATGAAACCTGAGGTCAATTCACTTTGAAGAATCCTCCAAAATAGCCACGAGATGAAGAACTATGATCTAGCAAGCACCACAAGATTTCTACCACTGGATTCATGTTTGTATCTTTGGTTTTCACTCTAGAATCATGGAGGAACTCTTGGAGAGAATATAGGAGGGTTTAGGAACTGTTATGGTCGAGAAAAATGAGTTAAAACGAGTTAAAATTGACTTAAATAAGAGCTGGACTTTTCCACCAACTTTGTGGGTCCCAATGGAGCTGCTGGCGCAGTCTCACGAAAATGCGAGTATCTCACTACTTCTATGTCGTATTGGAAAACGGTTTAATGAGTTAGAAACTAGACTCGTAGATCTTCAATATGGTAGGTGGATCATCCCGTAATTCCAAGTACATTGGGATAAAAGATCAGCTACATTTGACCTAATGTTAAACACATTTATGATGTAACTTGTGATGACCTTTGCCAATTTTTGTTCCACAACTCGCTTGACTTCAACACATAACACAAGACTATCATATGACTAAAATAACTTATAACATAACCTGCTTATCATGTTGAGCACCCTAGTCTCACCCCAAAATTACATGTTATGACATTCCCAATTTGTCGACTTTCGACAAAACTTATTTTCTTTAATTCGTTTAGCTTCTAAGCCTTCCAGCCCTCTTGGTACTTGAAGTTCATGATCTTAAGTATTTGTAACCTCCAAGTTAACATAATTAACTTACTTTATGTACTTTCAAAGATAATCTCATTTCTTAGCTTACATCAATTGACTTACGGCATACTTTTATGTACGAAAATATGGGGTGTAACAAAAGAAAATTCAAGCCATAGCAATTGAAGTTTCTTCATCCGGATTAAATCAAACATCATATTTTAATGGTCGCATTTGATATTCATAAGCATCCTTTGCTTTGACATAGTAAGCAGCTCTAGACATAATATTCACATAATCTTCTAATAATGTGCATCTAATTAAAACATGTTTAAAACATAACAAACCAATTTGGACTTCGCCTTTAATCCCACATTGACTGGGAATCAGTTTTCGTAGTTCTTGAATTTCTGGCCAACCATACGAATACATTCGCACGACTGCAAAGTCCAAGTTGTCAATGCTATTGCAACACCCCGAAAAATTTCGAAGTACTTAAGCGTTATTAAGAAAGTTGATGTGCGCTAATTATATTATTTTGAGTGCAGACAAGGACTATTAATATGATGGATATCAATTTGATATGATAATAAGTGTACGAGGCATATTATAAGTGATATGAGGTCTAAGGAGAGCCCTAAGTCCAAGTCAAGTTGGAAATTTCATGATAGACTAAAGTTTCAAATNTACGATTCTGCGGCCAATTATGCGACCGCAGAACCATTATGCGATCGCAGAAGTGGTTATGCGACCGCAAAACTGGTCGCTAGGGTTTAGGGTTTTACTAGAGAGAAATATTTTTGTTTCGATGATCCCTTTTTTATCCAGACTATTGTCAATAATTGTCTTTATTATGCTATTTAGGTAAAATAATATTTTTATATTTTTACAATCATAATCTATTATTTTGAAAGTATTAATTTCAAAACAACATTTTTTATCATTTTATAGTCATTTTTTAATTTATTTTTAATTAACTTTCGTATTTTAAATTCCAACCAAAAAATAGGCCAAAATCGGACAAAAAGTGGCCCAAATCTCAGGCCCAATGATCCCAGACCTAAAACCAATCGACCCCTTATTGAAATCCGGTCGGGACCCGTTTACCTGACCTGCCCCGCCTTTTCTTTAATCTTGGCCATTGATCTCAAATGATCAATGGCCCACAACAAATCCCTCATTCTCCTTATACCCCGTCACCCAAAACCTAATCTCATTTATCTCCGCCCAGCCGCCCTAAAATCCTCTCGACTCCTCCCCTGTCTTCTGTGAAACTCTAGCCGCCTCACCCTAGACCCTCTTTGAATATGGCCACACCATTGAATATCTCCATAATTTACTTACCTTATATGTACTACTCTGTTATTACTTGCACGACCAAGGAATTACTTAGTACTTGCCTGTTTTTGGCAAGTACTGTCTCCCAGATTCAAGCCGATTGACTTTGATTTTGTGAAGATTTGGATGATATTCTATCTATATCCACTCAACAAGGGACGATTCTTACATCCCTAGTTTGATTTACAGCCGTTGGACCTTAACTAGGGTTTGAAATTATTTTGTCTCCTTTACCGGCTTTATCACTGATTGCATGCGATTTTCTTTCCTTATTTGTGATTGACTAATTTCTTCCCATGATGGTTTTGTTTAATCAAACACTATATAAATCTCCCCCCCCCCCC